TTTCCCTCTCTGTCAAGATGGCTTTATCAGGCAGGCTATGGCTGAGAAATCGCATCCAAGTGAATGTTTCCTTTGGGGAGTAGCAGAAATCTCCATGGGCTTCGCTTCTTCTGCCAACATCATAGCCAAGAAACAAGCTGCAATTATTAATTCTGTAGCATAAAAGACATCAGCAACAAGAGCACACACTGTTTTCATTTTGACCAGTTTTCCAACTCTGGTGTCTTCCTACCCCATCTCAGCAGCAAAAGGTCAGGCAGGGTCCAGCACCACTGCAGTCGTGGGATGGACTGCAGAGTGGAAGGAAGATGTGTTTTCCAGGACTAAGAAAAGCAGTGACCCCATCTCAGGAGGAAGGTGCTATAAATACCCTTGCCACCAGGCTGTGTGAGCACTTGTGCTCGCTTGTGTTGGCTTCAAAGCAAAGCCCTGGACACTTTGTGAACATTTAAGCAGCACATATCATGAAGTTTGGTGACAAAAAGAGTTTCTCTTCTAGCATAGGAACAATTTTACTCGCGATGTAATGGACTGTTCTACACAGGCAGTAATCTACTTTTCTATGAATTTGTATAATAAGATGGCAGTAAGAGTTTCCCAGCCGCTTGACTTACTGGTGCCTGTGCTTTCTTTGCAGTTGTCCAACACAGCAATTCTTCATCAGATTAGACGAGACCAGGTGACAGACACGTGCCGAGCAAACAGCGTATCTAGCAGGAAGCGCCGCGTGCTGACGCCCAATGATCTCAAACACCTGGTCGTGGATGAAGATCATGAAATGATCTATTGCTATGTTCCCAAAGTGGCCTGCACAAACTGGAAGAGAGTCATGATGGTTTTGACAGGAAGAGGCAAGTACAGCGATCCAATGGAAATCCCAGCCAATGAAGCCCATGTGTCTTCAAACCTGAAGACCCTCAACCAGTACAGCATCCCAGAAATCAACCATCGCTTGAAAAACTACATGAAGTTCCTCTTTGTTCGTGAGCCTTTCGAGAGACTGGTGTCAGCCTACAGGAACAAGTTCACCCAGAAGTACAACACTTCCTTCCACAAGCGATACGGCACCAAAATCGTGAGGCGCCAGAGGAAAAACGCAACCCAGGAAGCTCTGCGTAAAGGCGATGATGTGAAATTTGAAGAGTTTGTGGCATATCTCATTGACCCGCACACCCAAAGAGAAGAGCCCTTCAACGAGCACTGGCAGACTGTGTACTCCCTCTGCCACCCTTGCCACATCCACTACGACCTCATAGGAAAATACGAAACGCTCGAAGAGGATTCGAATTACATTCTTCAGCTGGCGGGAGTAGGCAACTACCTGAAGTTCCCCACCTATGCAAAGTCTACGAGAACTACTGATGAAATGACCACAGAGTTCTTCCAGAACATCAGCTCCGAGCACCAAACGCAGCTGTATGAAGTCTACAAACTTGATTTTTTAATGTTCAATTACTCAGTGCCAAGCTACCTGAAATTGGAATGAGGGTTGGGTCGGGGGGAGAGAGGGGAGAGAAAGCCTGTTTTATTTAAGATTTTTATTTGTCATAATAAATATGGAGAATGGGTTATTTTGTAAATTAATATTTTCTTTTTTTTTGAATGATGCTGCGAGCAGCACAGTCAAAATTATTTAAATCAACTGTAAGAAAGGACAGCTCTCTTTGCAGGGTAACAGGATTGTGACGATCTAGCTGTAGAAATGAATAATACTGCTACACTGTTTAAAAAAAATGTTAATTGTGTTCTGGTGAATTTCCATTGATCTTGCATTCCTCCAATTCTAATTAATGTTATTTATACTTATTTAAAACATGGTCTCTTGGTAGGTGTCACTTCAGCAGCAGAGATAAGATAACATTTGGACAAAAGGAGTCTGGTTTTGTGCTTTCCTTAGTTGAGCTTGTCTCTGGGTAGTAATACTCTTCCATTAGCCGTTGATGCAGGCAAATGCCGGAATGGTTCTTGATACCACATGCTTTGAGAAGAGTGGTGGAAATAATTTCTTCAGAAAGTGATATTGCACTTAAGTGTACTAAAAAAAAAAAAATCTATCTTTCTAGCCCTGAAAGGGAAAATTAAACCAGGTTTTGATATATTCGTGGTATCTAAAACACGTGACTGAAAGAAATGTGAATGTATTCCTTGGGAAGAGAAACCATGAACTTTTTCTAAGTCTGGACTTAAGGATTTTATCAAGAAGATGACCAGTCCCATTGTTTCTTAATTTAAAGCCTGCCGGCCCAAATGAATGCAGATTTGCAGATGGTCTATCAGAAAAAAAAAAATCACCATTTTGACAGTGACTGTAGAGATTTTTGAATGCCCAAAGCAATTGGCATTGAGTTAATTCGTATTCAGGATGGGGGTGGGGGAAGCTCCATCTTCTGCAAGTTACGCCTCCCTAATTGATCATAAGATGGGCATCCAAAATTGGCTCAAAAACCACCGGTCACGATACATTGCTATAAAGGATGTGGGCGTGTAGTTTGAAAAGTCAGAAAGTCATCTTGGTGTTGATCTCTAAGCGTGGAAGGAAATAAAAAAAAGTCTCACCTCTTCCTACATGCTGGTTTTATGGCTTTTTCCTAGGGGGAAAGGGCAAGTCTTGTTTTAGTTAACACCTAAATACCATTGACAGGGATGCTTCTAATTTCCAGTGGGTTAGTATTTCATCTAAGTCGGCCCTAGTGTGAGACCACGACCTTTTGATGTAAGGTGAACGTCCCAGTAGCAGTTGTTTTGTGTGTAACAGCTTGTTGGGATGGCAGATCGTACCAGGCGTAGCACACCGGTTGTTTTGGGCAAGCCAGTAGTAGTCTATTAGCAGCAAATAAATAATAAAAAAAAGAGATTTCAGTGTGGATCCATTAGCAAGCCCAGCGGGCAGAAGTACAGGCTTCTCCAAATGTTTCTGTAATTTGTGGCAGGGGGGGCGTACGGCCGAGCGGGCGGCAGGCGCCTGCCTGGGGGATGGTCCGTAGCCCCGTCAAGCTGTCCCGTCCTGGGGTGGCAGCTGGGGGGCAGAAGGAGGCAGAGGCTGAAGTGGAGGCACTTGTGGGAACCTAAAATCCGTTTTAAAGTCGAATGATTGTTAAAAATGGGCTTTTGGCTTGCCTGCCTGTCAATCTTAGGAGCAAACCCAACCCTTCCAAAAATTAGGGAAGATTTTAAAAAAACTCAGCTGAAGGCAGAGCTGTTTTAACAGTGTGAGAGCCAGATCCTGCAAATGTCGCGCTGTACGATAGCCGATAATACCCACAGAATTACATTAGTCTCCAGGATACATACGCGGCTAAAGAAGAAAAATAAGTTCCGTCTCATTTTATAAAAATAAGTCGCTGAATAAATCTCAGCGAAGAGCAAATTAACATAACAAACGCCAGCTGAAGTCCTTTCAAAATTGGATTTGTTCTTAGCCAGGATTCAGGTCATTAGTTTTTTTTTTATCATACCCTACGAATAAATCTCTCATCCGTTCTGGAACAGCCACAGTTTTCATAACCCAGGTCCTATTGACAACCCGGAGCGTGGATGCAGTGGCTAGGGAGGAGCTGGCTGCCTGCGCCCGGCAGCTCTGAATTCCAGAGCGGTTGCCGATGGCCGGCTGGGGTTTTACTTGAAAGCGGTTTTGTCTCACTGAGAGTATGCGGAGCTGTTGCAAGTGCCTATCACAGTGTGCCCTGGCTTGCTTCTGTTCATAGTCCAATGGTTATATCTTTGTTAAAAAAAAAAAAAATAATCTGTCTGAGGGGAGATTTCCCCTCTTCCCCCCTCCAGCGTTTCCCGCAAGCTGTTTGTGTGCTTGTTTGGTGTTGTATCCAAGGGTGCTCATATTTTGGTCCAGTTTTCTCTTTAGTTAGCTGTTCATCCCTCCAACAGATTGTGGTGTGATTTTTTTGATTTAAGAACAAAGTTGCTTCAGAAAGTAAATATTTTAAAAATGGGACGCGCTTTCCCCTTTCTTTTTGTACTTTTCTCTGTCACCACCACGTTTTTATCTGTTCTGAAATACTGTCTTTAGTTTCACTGCTTTGGAGACACAAAAACCCTATTTGACAGCTGTGATGGAAAAGCTTTAGGAGAGGAACACGTTCAGGAGGCCTGAGGGGTGAGTGCTGCTCGAGACGGGATTTTTAGCAGCAGTTTTGGGTTTGATTACCCAAATTCTGCCTCCCCGCAGAGTGCTGCCCTGCTGGCAGATGCTCAGTACTGAGATGGCTTTTATGTGGTCTTAAGCGGGTGCTTCAAAGTCGCTTGCTTTTTAAAAACCTTGATCCCAAACTGCTACAAAACTGTCCCATTTAGCGTGTTACATCCGTTTTGGGGTGCTGTGAACGGGTTGTAGATCTGTGTTTAAAAGGAGCAGCTGGCACGCTGGATATGATCGTGTCCTGCACGTTGAGCATGAAGCCCTCACCAGCTCAGAGGAGGACCACAAATGTTAAGGAATAGCTTTTTTTCTTTTTTTTTTTTGGTCTACTGGTTGTTTTATTTTGACAGAGCCAAAAAAATTCCTCCTTCCACTGCCCCCACACTGCAGGAGGTTCAGGGTCGTTCCTCCTCACCTCAGCGGGCTGGCAGCCACCACCTCAGTGTGGGGGCAGCTGAGGAACCAGGTTGGTTTTACCCCATTTCTTCACTGGGTTTCCCAGCCAGAGGAGCGGGGGGGCTGGTCTGCTCCCAAGCCCTCCCAACCTCCCAGGTTCATTTCTGGTCCCGGGAGACAGAACAGGCAAAACTGCAGCCACAACAAAATCCAAACTGCAGATGTGCCTGCGGGGCCGTGAGGGCCACCTGGGGAGCTGCTTTTTTAGAGGGATGTGTATTAGCTGAGCAGTGGTGAGTGGAGAGAGGACTTGGCGGGGAAGGTCCCGCTCCCCACCTCTGCCCCCAGCCCCGTCAAAGCCGATGCGCCTGAGGAGCGGGGACGCCCGCCTCCGCGCCTGCGGCTCCTTACCCGGTGCCATACGCACGGCTGGGGGCTCACTCCCCCCTGATGGCCCCAAGCACCGTAACCTGGGTCCCAGGCTGGATTTGGCCCATCTGAACATGGTGGTGACTCCTGCGTGGTGGGAGGGCCCCCCAGACCTGACTTGGTCCATGCTTTGGCCTCCTCATAAACCATGTCCATTACCACAGAAACGTGCAAACCGCCTGAACCATGCGCTGCGTAAGGCAAGTGAAATAAATAATCCACGAGCAGAAGTGCTTTTAGAAGTAAATTGACCCCAGGTGTTTTAGGGTTTCACTGTAGTCTGCTGCACTTTTCAGGTACAAAAAGGGACTGTCCTTACTATTACTCTTGTTACAGAGAGTGTTATTTTCTTACATGCATGCACAATACAATGTGTACGAATAATTTAACATCAATGTGGGGTTGGATTTTTTTTTTAACCTATTTGTATGCAGTAGAAGGCTTGTTGTAGAAAAGTATCTCCTCATACCTAAATATACTGTTAATAAAGAAAAAAAGCTAAATTATACATTGCCAACACAAGTGTGAACTGCTCATGAATCTTTCCTTAAAAAAGCCATTCAAGCCTGATTATTTTTCTAAGTAACTTCAATTAAATTGAAGAAAGAAAGTTGCTCTCTGTGTGCTTTATTTCTGGCTCATGCTTTCAGGGCTGAGGGTGGGATTTTTGTCTACATAGCTCTGCTTTCTCACAAGGGTTGTTGCGGCAGGACGAGCAGAAGACTCTACATTATCGACTGCTATGGAGCAGAAAAGCTAAATTCATCTGCCAACATCCCTCTTGCTCCCTTCCTTCCCAAGTTCCCAGCCAGCAAGGATGAGTGCTGTCGCAAGCCCCAAAATATTATCCTACCTCAAGCAAGGGTGTTTCAGAGTCAGTGAGATGACATAAACTGCAGCTACCTGATGAGCCATGTGCTTGCCCACCTTCGTGTGAATTCGCTAATGATAGCTTTGCGTTAAACATTTTCAGCAGTCCCCAAACCTGCGTGGTCCCGCCCATGGTTTCACTGAGGCCAGGAAGCTGGGCTTTGAAGACAAACTTGGGTGAGGAAATCAGCACCATAAATTACACATAGGAAAAACACACGTTTAGAAAATAACTGCTCACCATCATGACCATGTTGTTGGAAGGGATGCTGGAGGTCAGCTGGGCCACTCTACTGCTGAAGGTCACCAAGACTACATTGGCTGTGGTTTTGGCTAGCCAAGGCTTCAATACCTCTGGGGACGGAGGGCTCAGAGCCTCTTTGGGTGGCCTGTTCCAGCACTGCACTACCCTCCCAGCAGAGTTGGGGTTTTTTTGCTAGGGGCCACTGTGAGACTTCTGTGGCCTTCAACGTGTGTCCATCACCTACCACTACTGGAGGAAGAGTTAGAATTCACTTACTTTGTAAGGCCCCTTCAAGTAGTTGTAGACTGTTATTAGATTCCCAGTTAGCCCTGTTATCACCAGACTAAATAAGGCCAGATCCCTCAAAGTATCCTTTTCAGTTATATGCTTTAGG